AACTGTAGCAGCAGCGGCACTCAGCTGCTATTCAATGAGTTCTCTGTGCTGGGCTAAGTTCTAAGACTTGATATGGATTAATAAGCACACCCTTCACCACTGTCAGAGATACACATGAGTATTGTTCTATTTTATAGGAGAAGAAATAGAAACAGAGGAGGCTGATGACACCTAGGACCACACCATCATTTAGTGGCAGATCCAAAACTCACATCAAAGCCCTCTAACCCTAGGAATTGTACCCCAGGACAACTAGGTTGGTGGCATGTCAATGGGTGGGGGATAAAAGAATAGGAAATATCCACAAAAAATGCACATAACATCATCCCATTCCTTAAATCATACACAATGTACATGCATTTATGCATAATAATGTATAAAAAGATGGTCTCAGCTGGGCACAGTGGCACACACCTGTAATCCCAGCAGCTTGGGAGGCTGAGGCAGGAGTATGGTGAGTTCAAAGCCAGCCTCAGCAAAAGTGAAGTACTAAGCAACACAACTCAGTGAGACCCTCTCTCTAAATAAAATACAAAATAGGGCTGGGGATGTAGCTCAGTGGTCAAGTGCCCCTGAGTTCAATCCCTAGTACCAAAAAAAAAAAAAGGCCTCTAAAATGTCAATGGATAGTCAACTACCTTAGGATGGTTGGGTCCTGAGGAACTTTTATTTCCTTTGTTGTATTGGTATCTATTGCTTCATTTCAAACATGCAGGGTTATTACTTATGGCAGAAATATAAACAATGAAGTATATTTCATTATGGAAGGAAAATAAATTAAACAAAAGAAAAGAAAAAAAAAAGAAGGGGAGGGAAGAGCTGTGTGCTTCTGAACAGAAGGGTGCTGGTCCTGTCCTGTTTGAGAACTGTCACCCTGGCAATGGTGCAGGCGCTAAAGACAAGGAAATGGAATATGCGACAATAGTGATAATCACTAAGATAACAGGAAATTTAAAACCAGTCACCCTCACATCAACACTAGTCACACTAACTAAAAGTTGAAGAAAACCCAAGTGTCCAACTCTGATGAACAAATACACAAATTGTGGTGTAGCCACACAATGGAATGTTATTTAGCCATAAACGGAATCAAATCTTGACACATGCTACAATGTGGCTAACCTTGAAAGCATTGTGCTAAGTGAAAGAAGCTAGTCACCAGAGGTCTCAAATTAGCTAATTCTATTTACACCAAACACCCCAAATGGTAAATTCATAGAGACAGAAAGAGATTAGCAGTGGCTAGGGGCTGGGGGGTGAGGGGAGCAGAGGGGAATGCTTACTGGGTTTGAGGTTTCCTTTTGCAAGGCAGATGAAAATGTTGGATTAGAACATTGGATTAGAGCCCCATGGCTCAGTGTGGTTTTAGTGGTGTCCCCAAGGGCCCACTGTGATTGACAGGTTGGTCCCCAGGATGGTGCTTCTGGGAGGTGGTAGAACTCTTGGGAGGCAGGGCCCAGTGGGAGTCTGTGAGGATGGCCTTAGGCCTGAGCCTAAGCAACTCCATTTTAAAAACTCCAGTTTGAAACCTGCAGCCTCACAAGGCACATCCAACAGATCCCTCACTATGGCCTCGGACAAGTCACTTCCCCTCACCCTGATAAACAGAGTGAAGCCCCTGGCAGGCTGACCACGCCTGATAAGTGAAATGCGAGGAGATCAGGGTGGAGATCACCAGACCAGATCATCAGACCCCAGAGTAAATGATGTCATGGAGAAATCTGGTGGTAGCTGATAAGGATTGAAAGGGGGGGGGGTCAAAAGCCCCAAAATTTAGTATAAATAACAGAGCTGATGAACAGGGATTCGGTCAGCCAAAACAAGCCTGATGAGGATCTGACATCCCATCACTTGTCATCATTTCCTGATCCTCTGCGTAACAAACTCTACAGCCTCATCTGGGCTTTGGTGAGAGCCACAACTTCTCCCTATGACCCTCTCCTCAATTGGTCGTCCACTCCACACCAGGAAAAGCCTGCCTTGGTTCTGGACCTGGTCACTGCTGTCTGAGTGAGACTGCATCTGCTGGACATAAAGCCTAAGGCTTAAGACTTTTGAACTTAGCACGCAGAGGGAATGTCTGTCACTAGCCTGTCATGATTGTGTTTGCAGTGCTAAGAATTAATCTAGAATTATTTGCTGTGAATTGATTATGTCTACTGCAGTGCCTAGCATTAAGGATTGTCATTTTCTTGATTAAGAACCTACAGAGTGAAATTGTATTGAGTAATTTGAGGGAATAAAGCATTGAAAGGAGCAGAAGCATGTAGATATTCTTTATTTCTCCCGCAATTTTGCCCCCTAGCAACAGTGTCCTTAGGTCATGGGAGTGGAACACCTCGAGTTCTCACTAGAGGGCTGTTACCCATCCTCTCTGCTCCCGGTCCGAGATGTGGTTACATGCTGCCCCCGGACACCCCATATCAGAAGATGAAGCAAGGTGGCCGCCCTCTTCAAGGAGCCTACAGTAAGCTTCTGGACTGTGAACCTCAAACCTTCGAGCTTAGTCGATGCTCCTCTTCATGAGCAGCCTCGTTAGGACTTCTGCGCTGGCGAGGCGGAGGTGGCTTCACAGCTGCCCAGCAGTGTGAACGCACTGAATGCCACTGAACTCTTCTCTTTAAAATGGCTCAATTTGCTAGGTGAATTTTACCCCAATTTTTTAAAAGCCAGTTATCTTTTCAACTTAAAGTTCACAGAAAATAGAAGAGCAAATAGGAGAGGAAGAAAAGCACCAAATGGATTCAAGAAAACCCTTGTAAATGAGGAGAAGCGGAAAGCAGGCTACTGCAAGAGGTGGCCTGGAACGGAGGCAGGGAGGGTCCTTGCTTAGCAGCAGTGGGCCTGGTCCCTCTGCAGTGGCAGAGCTATCTCCGGGAGGACAGGCTGCCTCAAGGTGCTGTGAGCTCTCTTTCTCCTAAGCCACCCATCATCTCAGTTAGAAGACCAGAGCGCGCGGCGGCCACGTGCTTGGAGGGGGGGGGTGGTGGTGAGGGGGGCTCCTCCTCCCAGAGTAGAAAGGGCAGGAAAGGCAGAGGCTGGGTGTTGGGGGTCTTTCTCAGCCCCAGGAGTGGCCACCTGGAAGGTAGCACTGCCACTTTAGTCTAGATTGGGAGCTGCCATGGGCAGGGGCCACTCCTTACTCAAGGCTATATCCCCAACCTTAGTCACAGCATATGTTCATGTTGAAAACATAAATGTCCTCTATTTTATATATTTTATCAATTAACTTACATTTCGAATAGAGAAACACAGATATGACACAAAATCCAAAAGGCCCCAGGGGACACACACACTGATACAATTCCCTCTCTTCCAGCCTTCCATTCCAGCCTTTGGTGCTACCGCCACCATTTTAAATGTGATCAGTGGTCACTTTGTGAACCACAGAGGCTCCCACAACCCGACCACCCTGTGACTCAGGTGTCAGGTAATCACTACAAGATGGAAGCTGCGGGTGGCATCAAGATCAAAGTCATCTGAGTGAGAACGCGGTCTTGGGATTCCATGGGGGGGGCAAGAAGGGCCCTGGAACCGCCCCCCCGGGGGGGAACGATCTACAGTGGAGCCGGCCCCAAGGCTGTTCATGGAGTGAAGAGCCAACCGCAGGCAGGGGCCAGAACCTATCCACGGAGTGGAGCCAGCCACCTTGGGCTCCTCCCAACTGTTTCAGATGTGGGTAGATTTCAAACTGGGGACAGAAGCTGACTTGCAAACACTCTCCACTTGGACCCAGAGAGGTGTCAAGTGGTTTGTCTGGTGGAAAGAAGTTCACCTTGAAAGAACTCAACTGTGAGTGGGTGTACCAAGCCACGGATGGGCCACGCCTGGCCATGCTGAGCAGGAACTAAGCTGGTTGGGAGCAGGGGCCTGGGAACCCTAGGTACCCCATGGGGGCTAGGACTTCTTGGGGACAAACAGTCTGGACCAACCCTGAGCCTGGACCAAGTCATGGCAGGGTGGGCCATGTGTGCTGGGGCATCTGGACACTGCATTATCTACATCATGAGGGGTTTGTGTGTTTGAAGTAACCACTTCCCTGTATAGTCACCAAATCAAAGACTAAAAAAAGCTTCCAGCCACGCAGGCTCATCTGTTCCCCAAGGTTCCTGCCTAATGTGGCCAACACGGCAGGCTAGAGGGTGAGTGAGCGCTTATCTGATTTCAGCCAATCTGTTACTGTATTTCATTCCCTGTCCTCATGCCCAGAGGCTGTTGCAATGGGTATAAATTTAGAAAGAGAAAAATAAATAACACAGAAAAGTTAACAAAATAAGGTTGCTTCTTTCCCCTTTCTTTCTTTCTATTTCGGTAAAAGAAAGATAAAGTGGTCTCCTTACTTATTCAGCCTCACCAAGGGGGAATCTGGTATTCTGGACAGGAACTCAATGCATTGTAACCATATTCCAGATCAACTGGCTCCTTCTGAGCCTGCCAGACAAGCTTCCACCCAAGCAGTTCCTCCAGGTTGAGGGCCTGAGAGGAAGACAGCACTGTCACAAGACCGGGAACCCACTGGGTCCCTTCTGTCCAGGAATACACTGTGAAGGAAGACAGCGCTTACCTGGCATGAAAGTTTGTATCAGCTAACCTGATGACACATGTGCCAGAAGCTGCCATGTCACCAGGAGTTATGCACTGAGAATTTAAATGAAACCATTTTGTAAGAAAATTAATACCCCAGATGGGAATTAACAACCCGTTTTGGTTATGAAGGAGAGTACATGGGATGAAAAAGTGCTTGGGCAACACTGGCCTTCCGTTCCCACAATCAGAGCCTGCTGGGTGAGGTCCACTAGTGGTAAGAGGCCATGGGTCAATGCCACAATACAATCATTCAGCCCAATCACCCCTTTTCACGGGAGGAAACCAAAGTTCATGACTGGCCCCAGGTCACATGGCAGTCAGTGGTCAGAGGCTCAGGACCAGGTCTCAGCTCCTCCCTAGGGTCACCCAGCCACCCCACCCCCACTTGGAAGTCAACCACTCAGCAGCTGTACCTCTGACAGCATCTCATACTGGCCTCTTCTTCCAAGGGCAATGGTCAGCAAGTCATAGACCACAGACGCGCTCTGCAAACTGATGAGGCGGTCACTCCTGTGCTCAGGTGTCCTGCTCAGCACAGCATCCCGGTTGGCCTGAAAACATGGAAGAGAGAGGCAGATGGTGAGCCAGCCCATGCTCGCAGCCACCATTATGGTAGAGAAGCCACCCAGGCACTCTGGCCTCTCACAGTTTGCTGAGAGCCTAGGACAAAGGCAGCAATAAGGGCCTGTCACCTCTAGTCATACTTTCCAAGTCCCCAAAGCACCCTGGCACATGGCATAGAGTATGACCCAATGCTGAAGGCCCGAGGCGTGAGCCATCAGTAGTGTCTGGAGACAGGCAAAGCAGGCAGAGCTTCGCTGGGCTTGGGTTCACAGCTGGCCTCATGGCAGACACAGCTGGTCCTGGCCAGCAGCAGCAGCCACCAAGGGACCCTGTCGTGTCTCACTTGTGATCCTGCTTCTGCTCTAAAGAGTAGAGAACGTTCCCAGCCCTGCATTTCCCATCACCAAATGGTGTCATCGAGTTCCACTGGTCCCATGGAGATATATCACGCTTTTCTTCTATCACTGAACAGCATTCAAATCCCTAAATGACATCTTCACTGGAACGAACCTTGAAGACTAATTCACCTTGTAAAGGGAAGCACAAAACAGATGTGGAAGAGAAGGCAAGAAGCAAGCCAAGTTTTACTTCAAATGGCATTACCACAAGGGACTCAAGAGAACACCTTGCCAAATCCAAGTCTCCACTGCCTGGTGCGGAAGCACACAGGGCACATCCCAGCCCACTCATCACATCTATCCAGAAATCAAATGCTCTTTATAGCAACTTGTTTCCATTGCTTTGAAATTTAATTTCTCCACAGATCCCTCCAGATAAACCACACGCACGGGAGGCTCGACAGCCTGTTCATTTTCCTTTTCCCCTAATAGGGAGCTCTGAGACAGTAAGGCTGAATTTCACCTGCCTTTCCCCCCTGCTAATGAGTAAAAGTCTCCAGAGCTGTCTGGCCCTACAAGGAGAGAAAGAGCCCTCAGTCTTCCCCAGTAAAGCAGACATGAGGTTCCAGGGCCACTTGTCCCCCAGCTGATGTTCATCTTCCTGCTGACATTCGGAAAGGCCAGGCACACGCTTTCCCTTTCGCTAATGAGGTAAAACATTTTATTTCTTGTGAGTTTAAGACATTTGCTTTTAGCGGCCCATCCAACTTACTCACTTTAAAATTCCTGGCTCTTAAATGTCAAAGACAAATGAGGCTATGTAAGACAGGCCACTTCCTGCAAAGTGAGTCCTCTCTCATGGAATTGAGCCTGCTTTTGAAGATTTCATTCTATGGTTTTCCATACAGAGTGCCTTTTGAGCCCAATAAAAGATGCCCTGAAGCAAGTGGGACCTGCTGTCTCATTTTATTTACTTGCTATGTATGTTCCATACCAGACCAAAGCCTGGAATAAAAACAAAGCACAACATATACTACTTAGGAGAGATTTTCAAGTTATACCACATGTACCCTTTCTTCTTTTTTCCATTTTTGGAGACAGTATCAATACCTTTTGACTAAAAAGGTACAATACAGGACCTTAAGCAGATCCACAAATAGTAAGTAGCCCAGAATATTGCCACAGCAGTAGTCATACAAATAGAGTTCTGATCATCTTTTTCTCTGGGAAAAAACTAATTTGCTATGCAGTGAGAAAGCAGTACAATTCCAAATGATTTCTTGTAGGTGGAGAGACTATGGACAAATTTATGTTTCTAAGTTAAAATCAGAACCAACGAAGAAAATTATTTTCTCAGACATCCAAAAAACCTGGCATTCTCATTTGGGTTCTGAAATTGAGCACACAGTTTTTCTGCCTAACAATTGAAAAATTAAACCTAACAACTGAAAAATTAAGGAGTCAAAGGACATGAAGAAAAGATCCCAAGGGCAACTTAAATCTAGGAGTGATTTAAAGGACCATCTTGTTTGGAAACTTGGTCCTTCATATTTACTGATGATGTCACTTGATTTCACCATTCCCAGAAGAGATTTTTCCAGAAATTAAATACCACATAGTCAAATCTCACTGTCCACAGGGACTTCGACTTTCTCTCACTCCATTGAGGAGCAGGAAATTTACAGACATCAATCCCCGGCATCCACACTCAGCCAGAGCAAGCCTTATGGAGAGGTGGCCATGTTCTCCAAATCCCAGACCAGGACACACGACCTGACCATGAACCGCAACATTTCCAATGAGAACCGTCCAAGCGCACTAAATGCACGCTCTCCATGTGTTCAGGGCGTTCGTGCCTAACCAACCAAGTTTGCCAAAGGAAACTAACTGCCCAGCTGTGAAGAGCCCCACTTGGGATGAAGAGTGTAGGATGCCAACAGGAGCTGACCCTTTGTCACAGTGGTGGCAAAGCAGGTGAGGCCTCTCACTTGCACATCAGCCACTGAATGCCACCAAAGTGCAAAGCTGGGAATCTATGTGCCTTCCCTGACTGTGCCAAGGCAGAGCACAGAATATAAGTGACACTGTCCTCCGTTAGCAGCTGACAGTCAAGGAAAGATGAGCCAAGAGCAAACTGCTTCCTGGAGGGAAAGAAAGCCAAAGACGTCAAGAGTGTCTAAGTCAAAAGCAGCCATGACTCAAGGAGCCTGGCTCTTGTAAACACCTCAGGGCCTTTTTGCAGAACAAGAAAACCCAGCGTTTTAAACTGTGGCCAGGATGCTCCCCTCTCTGACTGTTCTGGCTCTGCTGACCCTGCCGCTCTGGCATGTGTGCGTGTGTGCTCCACGTTTGTGACTCTTCCATCTGGGAGTATTTCACACTTCCAGTTAAATAGCACATCTGAGGGGCAAGGAGAAGGGGAACAGCCTTTCTCCCTTCCTTAAGCTTCCCTCTGCCCACCTGGGGGTAGAAGTCACGGAGCGGGGCAGCACAATCTAACAGGAGCAGCAGTCCCTGCACGCATGTGTATTCAGCTTGCTCTGGCCCTCAGGTTCCGCATCTGCCAAAGCAGATGAATGGACATGAAGTCCTCTAGGTCCTTTTGAGTTCTAGAAGGCTGATATTCTGCTCAGGTGCTCGAAACACCTGGTTTACCTGCAGTGACAGTAACTACTATGACACAGCATCCCCAGGGTTTTGAACCAGGCTGTAGTGTCTAGCGCTACACAGGACAGAAGTCCACTGAACGATGAGTGATGCAGTCTTAGGCCTATAATTCAAGATCCTGGTCAAACACTAAGTAAACATAAGGAATCCGATGGTCTGGTGACAATCCTTCAGAGCAGTAGAGCTGGGTAGTGGAATTCTGCAGTGCCTGGGAACGGGTGGGAACATGGCGAAAGGTCAGAGCAGTCTCAATGGCTCCGATCCTGACATTCTTCCTCAAGCCAAAGCAAACTGAGAAGGCTCCTGGAGGCTCCTGAGAAGGCTTTTCTCCCCTTGGTGGACATTTTAGGTGGTGGTCATGTTAGCATTATTTACATACATACAACAAGGCCAGCATTCACCAGGACTAGTGGATGGATCGATGGATGGATGAATTAAGATACCTGCTAATTGCTATGGGAGGAGAAGCCCCAAGTTCCAGGTGACCAAGAGACACTACTAGCTCCTCCAGTAACTGACATACATCCTCTCTTTAAACCTCTACTGCTTCCTTTCCCTTTCCCTCCCGAGAACTCTTCTCTAGTCACCATCCTAGTCACCATCCTGAGGGTGGGGACAGGGGAAAGAACAATGAAGCCACCACATTCCACTTACCATTGATTCACTAATCAGCAGCAGCAACAGGGCCTCTTCAGTGTTTTCTTGAGGACAAAAAATGCTGCATAAAGAAAACCAACTTTGATATGTGGCAGTTTTAAAATAACACAAACACAACCATGAACAGAATGGAATGCTAAAAGTGTCTCAGTTTTTATATAGAATCTATGAAAATACTGTGTAATTTGGACACTTGAATTAATTTGCTTATTCCTATGGTGATCCATGGAATTAACACATTTTAGCTAAGCATTTTGACGGCCTGCAGAGGGTGAAGTGAAGTTATAAAAAAACCAAGTTAAAAGCCCAAATAACATATGTACCTATTACAGAGGCAGTAATGTAGGGGGCTATGAACTGATATGAGGTAAATAACCAAAGCTTTTGCCAAGCCCCTTATGAGGCATGAACTGCAGAGGGTTCACAGAGTAGCACTCTTCCTGGCTGTCACCTGCTAACTGCCATGTCTTCTACTGTCATTCAGATGCAGTGTGAGATTGGAAGCAATTTTAGAGTTTGAATAATTTCCCTGATACTATAAGAACACAGTGAGCTGTCTTACTTCAACATGCATGTTTTATTATGGGGTAATATTCAAGAGCTGTCTTGTTAATCTATTTTGTGGAATTTGGATAAACTCTAAAGTCTTGGATTAAAGGAAAAAGCTTCTAAGCTCAATTTTGCTGAGGATTAGAAAACAATAAAAACCCAAACATAACCCCAATCTGCACTCTCTAGATCCTATTTTTTTGTACTGTGAGCACTTTTAAAAAGACTTGTGGCATTTGTTTTTTCTTCCTGTTCTAAAGCTCCAGAATCCTCGAAGTGGAATTGTGAATGTTATCACCAATTGGGCGAAACTCAACTTTTTTTCAGAGAATGGAAAAAGGCTTTGCAATAAATAAAAATGTGCTTAGTTAAAAAAAAACTCCTGGATATTTTGAAAATGACTAGATTTACACCTTCCCAGAAATAACCTCACAATCATTTAAGAGATTTCCCCCTAAAAAAGGGAACCCCTCCCCCCTGTTTTCCAAATAATTATAAATACTTGTTCTCTTTGAAATGTTGGCAATTTTTGTACTGCCTCCGAGGACACTGAGGAGCAAGAGGGAAAAATGCCATGCTCAGTCCTCTGGTGACTATGCTGAGGTTTCTGGAAGAAAAGCCCTGTGGGCTATGCCCATCGCTCTGCAGGCCACGGCAAGGCTGGCCTGGGAACGAGAAGCAGGACACGGGGGCTTGTCACCTCTTCCTTCGAAGTCAGCTGACAGGGATCTGGGGTTTTGGCAGATGGAACACTTCTTTCCCTTCAAATTCAGAAATAGACTCTAAAGGTTCTGAATTGAGAGTGTCCTGGACCCATGAGAGTGTGTGTGCCCCCAGTGGCTATCCTCAGATCTCCCGGTCTGTGCCAGACCTCAGAAATAGAACCTTGACCATGTTTTCAGGCTAGCCAGTTCTGCATTGTTCAGACTAATTGAAAAGAGCCCATGCTAATTGTGACTTAACACCAGCCAATTCAGTTCATAGATAATCTCCAAATTCCATCTGGGCCATCCAGCCAGCTTAAATGTGAGGTTGTGATATTTTTACCAGAGTTGCTAACAAGTAACGCATTAACTGATGCTAATTCCTCTCCCTTGGACTCCCCATTGTGGCAGTCAGGATGGGCTCAGGAGGCTCACGGAGTGGGGCTGGCAGGCAGAGCCAGAGAAGGAAGGAAGAGTGGTTTCAAGAGACAAGTCTACACCACTGCTCACCAAAGGCTCCTGCTCAGTAATCCTGAATTCTTGAGACTCATTTCTGGCTATTCCCACCCTCTTCCTTGCTCAGGCAAGTGTGGGGCCCAGGATGGATGGTCACATTTGTCAGGCCTTCCATTTGTGACAGTCTCTTCTTTGGGAGACCTTGAAGTGCCCAGGCTGCTGCCTTGGAGAGTGGAAAACTGGCCCAAGGGAAGCAGTATGAAGAGCAGGGTAGGCCACCAGAGGGGACAGGAGGACATGCTTTCAGAGCTGGCAGCGGGTGGGGGCAGTGCTGTGTCCCAGTGGGGCAGAGTGAGGCGTCCCCATCCCAGACACAAGGCGGAGTCAAGTCCCAGGTGGCCTGTAGGCAAACTACCCACGGCTCGATAGGGGTGAATCTGTGTGCTGATTCTAGAATCTACAGAAGACATGGGAACGAGGGCAAGGGAGCCCCAGGTGTGAACAGCAGCCATGTCTTGCCAGTGCTCCCAGGGAACTCTCAACCTTCCCCAGACAGGGGAAGGGCCTTACTCTACCAACCCCATCTCACCAACTGCGCCTGTCCCCTCCCGTCATCTGGAGCTACTTCATGACAAATAAGGAGGGGTGTCTAAAGGCCACCTGCACCTCTAGGAGCCAGGGCTACATGCAGGGAGGGCCATGAGCTCCCTGCCCATGGGAAGTTGACTCGGAAAGAGCAATGACCACTCAAGGTCTAGGGACACGGCCTTGCAGGCCCTAGCACACCTGGCCACGACTCCACTAGAGAACCCTGGAGAAGCCCGGCCTCTGGGCTGCAGCATGCCAGCCGAGGAGAGCCCAGGATTCAACGCCCGTAGCCCACCCACCCATGTCCATTGTCAACACACCAAAGCAGAACCTTCCCTGGGCCCTTGCCTGAGTGGTAAGACGGTCAGGAAGCAGCCAGCCCCATCCGAGGACATCCTGTCCTCCTTCAACTCTCCTCAACAAGGCCAATAATCTCCTTGTGACAAAAAAGAGGAGCAAAACTTGCTCTTGGAGGAGCAGATAAGCCCCACGCACATTGCCTTGCCCAGAGGCTCAATGTTAAGAGGACAAGCCTCCACATGACATGCCCCTGTTAAGAGCCTCCACATGACAACCCAAAGGTGGGCCAGGCTCCCTAGAGGTGGACAGACCAACTGGACGCAGCTGGACATGTACGTGGCTTCAGTCCTGCCACCAAGAAGTCATCCCGACCCCCTAACCACCCACGTCTTCCCACTGTCCTCAGTGCCCGTGTTCACCAAGCCTCTGCTGGCTACCAGCAGGTCCAGGCCCACACTGAACCTCCCACGACTACTCTCCCCTCCTCCAGGCCCACAAGGCATTCACTGCATGTGATACATTTTTGTCATCTCCTTTCTGGAACTAGTGGTTTTCGATCTCCTGCTTTACTTGTACTAATTATTTAGTCTAATATGTGTTTAATTACCTAAGCTACCTCAAATGTTTTTTAAAAGGAAAAAAAAAAAACAATAAAAGGAAAAAGGCCCTCGACCAAAACACACACACATCCATACACTAGGAAACATGTACAAGAGCATTCATAGCAGCACTGTTCCTGTTAGACCCAAAAGGAATAGGAAACAACTCAAATGACATCGTAAACGAAAAAGACCAAGGTACTAGAGGATATTTCACAAAACTGAATACTATGCGGCACTGAAAACAAAATAGCTATATGCAAAAAATATGGCAGAAATCTTCCAAATACAATGAAAAGAAGATAAGTGAATGCCTATTATACAATTATATTTTAGAAATCAATTTTGTTTTCACGGTGTTAATAATAACAGAAAGTGAGTTTTTAATTAATTGGTCAATTAATTTTTGAACCAAGGCCTTGCTATGTTGCCTAGCCTGGTCTCCAACTCCTGGGCTCAAGTGATTCTCCCTACTTAGCCTCTCAAGTGCTGGGACTATAGATGTGGACCACCACGCCCAGCTTATGTAAAGTTTTAAAATGAATTAGATTGATCATGTGCCTCTGTAAGTCCCATAGAAGTCAGGACTGGGCACACTTGGGCAGGGGTGGCAATTGTAAGAGGTCACAAAGAGGAATTCTGGGTCTTTGGCAATGTCTACTTCTTATACAGGATGTGTTTACTTGACAAAAATTCATCAAGTTTTATGATTTTACTTTTCTTTGTTATGTATCAAAAAGTTTATCCTAAAAATAAGTAAACCAAGCAGAAACAATTCTTCCCATACAGACTCTGAAGAAAGGAAATAAGGAAGCCTGTGAAGGCTGATTCCCTCCCCCTTTCTACCCAGTATTTTCAACACCTTAATTCCCTTCAAAGCCCAGGACCATCAGAGCAGGAGCACTGTGCCTCGGCCCCGAGCCAGCCACAGGGCGGGGAGCACACGGGGAGCACGGCTCTCTGGCAGAGCTGGCTGTTCAATTATCTCTCTTCAGGACTAGACTTCAGAATGGAAGGATCTGCGCCACCTAAATTCTGCTTTGTACTTACATTTCTTATAAGAGACTGAGTGGAAGGGGAGGCGTTATGGTTTAAATGTGGTGTCCCCAAGAGCTCACGTGTGAGACAGTGCAAGAAGGTTTAGAGGAGAAATGAGCGGGTCACAGCCTGAAAATAATCAGCCATGGGATTAACTGAGCGGTACCTGAAGGTGGGTGGGGTGTGGCTGGAGGACATGGTTCAGTGGTGGCGTGGCTGTGGGTATATGTTTTGTATTTGGAGAGTCGAGTCTCTCTCTGCTTTCTGATCACCATGTGAGCTGCTTCCCTCTGCCACACTCTCCCACCATGATGTGCAACAAGCCCTGAGGAATGGAGCTGGCCTTCTATGGACTAAGACCTCTAAACTGTGAGCCCTAAAATAAACCTTTCCTCCTCTACAATTGTACTGGTCGGGTCTTTTAGTGGCACCAGTGAAAAAGCTGACTAAATCAGGAGGGTTTGGGGCTACTGGCCAAAACAAAGTCTGAACATTATCCACGGATTCCCTCTTCACCTCCCAGTCAGCATAACTGAGCTGGTGGTGGTGTCCGTGGATGGTGCTGCCTTGGTAACAAGGGAGCTCAAAACAAGCATCACCCAAATGGATTTCCCTCCTTACCAATATTCCAAGTAAAAAGTAGGCTGTGAGCACACAAAACTAGAAAAGTCCAAACCTGAGGGCCTAAGGATTAGTGTGGAAATTAATGACAAAGGGAAGAGACCCACATTAGAGACAGCGAGCAAAACCAACAAGGATGGGTCTTCAACAAGGTCAACAAATCAACACACTTTTAACTACACTGACCCCATCAGAGAGAGGAAAGACCCAAATTACCAAAACGAGAAGAGAAAGGACATGACAATGAACCTTGCAGAAACAAAAAAATAGTAAGACCACTCTGAAGACCTATGTTAGCAGAGGCAAGGAGAACAGAAACATTTCTAGAAAGACACAAACTACCAAAACTGAACCAGGAAGAAACAGAGAATATGAACAATCAAGACCTGAATTAGTATCCAGAAACTTCCTGTGAAGAACAGTCTAGGACCAGATGGCTTTACTGATAAATTTTACCAACCATTTAAAGGAAAATTAACACCAATTCACCAAAAACTTAAAAAAAAAAAAAAAGAGGGTAGAGAAATACAAATACTGTCCAACTTGTTTCATGAGGCCAGTATTATTCTGATACCAAAAGCAGACAAAGGTATCATAAGAAAACTGCAGAACAATATCTTTTATGAATATAGACATAAAAAATTTGAGTAAAATACTAGCCAATAGACCCCAGCAACAAATAAAAAACATATTATACACCATGATAGAGTGGGACTCACCCCAGAAATTCAAGGTTGGCTCAATAGATCAGAATCAATTAAAGGCATGTACTGCATTAATAGAATCAAGGACAAAAACTACAGAATAAGCTGAATGGGTGAAGAAAAAGCATTTGTCAAACTGTGGGGACAGTTCCATGATAAAAATACACAGCAAACTAGGAATGGCAGGGACCATTCTTAACCTGATGAAGGGTGTTCACAAGAGCCGGTGGTGAACACCATAAGTAAAGGTGGAGGACTGGACGCTTTTCCCTCCAAGATCAGGAAACAGACAGTGTCTGCTGTTGCCACTTCTTCTCAACATTGCACCGAAGGTTCTAGCCAGACAATTGTGAGGGCAGGGGCAGGTATGGGATACAGAGCATCCACGTTAGAAAGGGAGAAGTAACCTGTATCTGCAGATGACACTGTAGCTTATACAGAAATCCTAAGGAATCTAAAAAATGGTGAGATCTCTTCAGAGACTGCAGTTTCTAAATCTGTGTTTCGCCCCCAGGTTCCTTTACACAGGTATAAGCTGACGTGGGCGTGGTGTTAGAAGAGTGGCAATGTCTGAGTGGCTCAAGAACTACAGGGCGGCAGAGCCTCCTTGCCTCTGAGGGAGGCCACATGGGAACAGAGCTCCCACTGGTGCCAGGCCTGGTGGGGAGAGATAGAAACCTGGTACACCGGCTCATAAGAAGCATCTCCAGCAGTAAAATAAACCAGGATCTGTTTTGAAGATATAAACAGCACTTAAAATACGAACCTCAAATCTGTTTCTCAACAGCTCATCATGGGGATCAGCATTTTTTGTGTGAGAGTTTGGGAAGTGCTAGAACAGAGTTCTGTGGATCCAGAGAAGGACTGAGGAGTAAACCCGGGCTGTGGATTGGGCCTACTCCTCGCTCAACAGGCTGGGGTGGGGGCGGGGATGGGAAGGAGAGCAAGGCCT